CAATCCAAAATCATGACTTCTATGGTACTCCGCCTTTTGTCCAAAGACTGCAGGAGATGGGCACCAGTCTGCCATGACCCTGTTAGACAAGAAGGTGTAGAAGATGGATGTTTATATTATAAAAGGTTTGGGTTGTAGAAGGAGTAAAAATCGCCAACTGAGAAAAAGGTTTTGTTCTTTCTTCATTCTTTTAATTTTTGTATTAGGATATCAGTTTCCATTTGATGCTTAGTCTGAGGTGTGATTACGGTTCCTTATTATCTTTTGAATTATTTATTTATTTGTATTAGTCTCAGTTTCTGGAGCTAAAAGCTTTTTCAGTACTGTGTTTCCTCTTGTAAAGAACCATCATTTCTAAATGTATAATAGAATAAATATAAATAATAATCAATATAAACTGGACATTGCATAGTTCGAACAAAGCCCTTGTAAAATGTTCACCTGCATAAATGCCACATATTGGCCCTTCAGGTCTGCACTTTTCATGATCTTTGTGTCACAGTGAAGATCATTGCAATGTGAGAGCATTTCTATTGCCTTAAAACGAATGTAAAGTCTGTCATAGTCAGTGTCAGTTGTTATTAGGTTACTATAATAGATCTTGATGTTGCAGCTTTGTCTTGTCAAATGTCTGTGGTATTTGCTGCAAGTTCAACTGTAGACTTTTGTCCTCAGTAACCTCTTTTATGAAAAGAAGATTAGATTCAGCTGGCAGCTAGAAATGTTGAAACACTGAAATATTTGTCTTTGCTGTTGGGATTAAGCTACTAATGTATTTAATTTATTAATGTTCCAGTTTAAAATATTATCGCAAAAATAGTGTTTTAAAATGTCTTGTTTTTATCACATGAACAAACTCAATAAATCAGCTTTTCAAACCACATTTTCTGTTCTTTTTTTTTAAGAGCTCTATTAATTAAATCAATTATATCTGGCACAAATCTCATTTAAAATGATAACATTTCAATGTGCTATTAAGACCTATTTTCAGCTATGAAGGGTCATTGGTGGTTTATTTTTCAAGCAAAACAGTAAATAGCTGTGCAAGTTGATGTACATGATCTCTAATCTGAGCAGGTGCAACATTTTATCTCCTAATGCATAACATACAGTACACTCATATTTGGCTTGATGCCCATTAGCTCTTTGAGAGAGACACCCTGCAACCACTTGAGCCCGATGGTGCCGGGCCCATCTGACACCTGCTCATGTTTATCTATTTATAGAAATGGCCAAAACACAGTCACATGGTGTTTCATCCACACGCTTTTCAAAATGGGGCTTTAAAATTTCTAAAACATGTTTCAAATGACTTTTTCACAAATACGTTTTGTTTTATACCTGTGTAAACAAATAAAATGAGATTTAAAATTCCACCTGACATGTCTGACTCTACGGTAGTTATGCAACAGCAGGTATTCTCTTTTGGGCACACTCCATAATGGCCGGCATTGTTGGAAACTTGAGGCTCAGACCTTTCCAAGGAGGGATCGGAGATAATTGTGCAACCACTTCAGGTGATATTTTCTATTCAGATTGGTGATATTATTGTGTTTCAATGGTAAATTTCAATGAAACAGCGACTTAATATTAGGAGCAAAGGCTTTGCCTTATGCAGAAGGTCTACAATAACTAAAATCAGCTATTTGTGTGGCAAGATTCCCTTTTATGAGTGGAAAAAGCATTTGGCACAATTTGTGCCAAAATCATATTTCCGCCCAGCGCCCTGCCCACTAAAACCTTTATGGAACAAACATACTTAAACTTATTCAGTCTTGAGTTATAGTCAAGATGTGGATCTATTAAGTCTTAGAGTTCATCCAGAGTTTTAAATGGGTTTTCAAGGTGTTTTGCAGTGTTTATTTTGGCGAGGCTACATTTTTTTCCCTTTTTTCTTTGTTTAATTACCTATAAATCAGACATGGTGACATTTAAAATAGTGGTTCTACCTGAAAAATATTTCTCAATGCCTTTCTGTCATTCAAATACAAACAATTGAATTTCAAATTTATAGTTTGGGAGCTGTACTTGGTTTACTATACATATGTAATTTTGGCCAGAATTTGCTCCTAAGACTAGGGTTGGGAATTGATAAGATTTTCACGTTTCTGATTCCCTTATCGAATCTGTGAAATTATTCGATTCCTTATCGATTCTCTTATTGATTCAGTGAAACAATGAATGGTGACATTTGTCTACCTTCACTTGGGGCATTCTATTTTTGCCTGCCTCTGCAAAAACAGAAGGCAGTGAACAAGCTGGTTGTAACTTTAGCTTCTAACCGGAAGCATCAAAGCCTAGCGCTGCCCAGCGCTAGGCTCAGGAGCTGCCTGGAATCGATAGGCGAACCATTAAGCGAGCTGCCAAACGGTGCCATGAAATTGGAACACACGGAATCGGTTCTGAACAGGAAACGGTTTTCGATTCCCATCCCTACCTACGTAAGACCCTCTAGGCTTAAGCAATCAGAAGTAATCTTCTGGCAGAGTTTAGACTGGATCATTATATTTTCAGAAATGGCAAAGACAATCACAGTTGTTGTTGGGATTGGTTTCCTGGCATTTTTTTTATTAGATTAATGTTTTTCAGAAGCTTAATGTTTGCCTCTTTCTTCCATTGGAGCATCCCAATGTATCCAGGTTTCAACTCTCAAGGTGCTTGTTTGAGGTGAAGTTAGAATATTTTAGACTTCATTTTCTCACTGACTTTGTCCATCGCATTTGTTCATCTGGCTCTAAACTATACCCTCAGCATGATGGTAACACCACTATGCTTGACAGCTGATTTAGTGCTTTGTCGGTATGATTTTCATTAGCAGCTGAAAATTCAGGTTAGTTTGCAAGTGAAGATTTAGCATTAGGAACTGTTTTCATGCTATCAGCATGTCAATGTTAAGCTTAGGTATTTGGTTCATGCTCCCCAACTGGCACTTTTTGGCAGCACTAAAGGTATATTATATATAACTTTAGTGCCATTTAGTATATATATATATATATATATA